CTGATGTGTGCAGATCACACACACTGATGTACACTGATCTATCCAACTTCTCCTTCTGCAATCTCGTGCTTGTGACTTTCGTGAGCTGTGATGTCAATAGCAGCAGAAAAGGAGAAACCATCATTCAATTGTTCAATTGTTTCAACAATTACAGTAATATGATGCCTCTAATTTCAGACCCAAGTTGAGTTCTTTAAATGTGAGGATACCAGCATTTCCCGCTAGAATTTTTCAGCTCTGTTGAGCGGATTCTTAAACAACTCTGATTGGACTTTGCGTTCACACGCTCAACATAAAAGCCTGCAATTGGCTACAATGATCAGCGTTTCAAAAACATGTTGTCTTTGACGCTCTACATCGAGATAGTCATGTCAAACCACCTTGTGGAACACAATATCCAATCACGGTCAAGTATGTTGAGCATGTGAACAAAATGGCCAATCAGAGACATATATGTTAAGGGTGTGAACACAATGGCCAATCTCAACAATGGTGACAAACATATCACCTCTGAACATAAGCTCATTATTTATTCATGCAGCAATGCATGATGGGAGCTATGAATGAGTTTTGATTGGTGGCACCCAGAATGCAATGCAACATGCTTTATGATTGTCACCATTGTTGAGATTCACAGGCTAATCATTGATGTCTGTGTGTCTTTAAAAAAATTAAAGAAAGAAGAGAAACTTTTAAGAAATTATTTTGAATACATTGTCAGGGCTGCCAACTATGTTGCTATGCTGCCATGTTGAACATGTGAACACAATGGCCAATCAGAGGCATTTAAGAATCCTCTCAACAGCGCTTAGAATACTAGAGGGAAATGCTGGTATGGTCACATTTTTTAAATATCAGTTTCGGCTTGGTACCGAAGTCGGTACTGTTGACAGCTCTAGACGCATGTGCGCCTCTTGAGATCAGGGGAGTGAGGCTTACACGCTCAGCTTGGACGCTACTGAGACAGAAGTCGGCTTTGGATCGCCCGAAACGCCCGACTGACTCATGAACTGACTTTCCTTGAATAAGACTTTCAAACGGACTGGATGTGATCAGTGGACAGCAGTGTGTTGAGGAGTATCATATTAACAAACCCAGGCGGCCACACAGGCGAGCAGAAGACGTCTGCAGGGATTCTTGTCTGCCTTTCGCTCTCAAGGTAACAGAAACTAGCCGTTTGTTTGTTTGTGGTGACAGCAGGTTTTTGGAAACTTCCGGCATGAGTGCAGAAATGCGCTGAGTCAGGAAAAGACGCAACCCCTCCCCCCCAAAAAAAAACCCGTTCCACGGTCCACTTTCTGTCTTATTCCACCTCGCCTCACCACATCCTCCACACTATCTCCTGCTTATCTCCATTTCCTCCAGCGCGCTCCCTCTCCCACCCTCGCATGTGTGTGGGTTTGAAGTGCAGAGCTGCATTCAGCACGTTGAAGTTGCAAACGAGAGAGAGAAAACAAGGTAGATAAGAGACATTGTTCAAGACCGACTCGCTAGACAAGACTATTTGAGGTTTCAATATTTTATTGTTATTTTTATGATGATAATTCATTAAATGCACATTCCAGTCAAAAATTACAATGCACGACTGACACATACAGTTAGTACGTACTCTATAAATAACATCACAAATGTCACACACGCACTCTAACTGTAACACACACATGAATGTTAGATCTCATTGAACACACTCTAGAGGCCCGTTCACACCGAGAGCGATAACGATGTAGTTTCAAATAATCCGTGTTGCAAAAATAAATCAAATGTTCTAAATGTAAAAGAGAGTCCAGATCAGAACTATCGGTGCGTTCAAGTACCTTCTCTTATTCAGCTACACAAAATACAGCAGGGTTTTAACTCTATACTTGTAGAAAATGAAACTAAGAATGTGAATCAGTGTGAAATCTTTGCATATTGTTTTGGTCAAGTTTTCTGTCCTTTTCTTGTCTTTTTATTTATTTGTTATTTAGTCATGATTGTAGGTGGATCTTGGGAATGGGCTTTGTTGAAAATAGTTATATACGTGTACAAAAAATGTTTAATAAATAAATAATCACAAAAAAAGAACCTGTGCATCAGGTGTGATGTGCTTTTTTGTTTAATTTATGAAACCACCGTAAACTTTATTGTTACATATTATATTGTTATTTTACAATGCTATTATATTTTGTGCAGTTTGTTACTAATAATAAAAAAATCTAACCATATCACTGCTAAATACCTTAAAGGGTTAGTTCACCCAAAAATGTGTTGTTTGCATATGTTTTTCAACCCCGCGAGACATTCGTTCATCTTCGAAACACAAATTAAGATATTTCTGATTAAATCTGAGAGCTGGATCACTCCTCCAAGGGCTTCTGGGTAATTTCATCTGCCGGCCCAGAGCGTCGAGAATACTTTCTGTGCGCAAAGAAAACAAACAAAAATAACGACTTTATTCAACCATCTCTTCTCTTGCATGTCGGCCAATAGTGAGCCTACGTTCTGACGTACAACCGCGCTGTTGCATTTTTGGGTGAACTAACCCTTTTATTTACATAAGTAATATATTTGAACTAACCTTTAAAGTATTGTGGTATTTGGCCATTTTTCTCTCTGACACACACCCAACTCGTAAACATCGGGGCTTAAAGGAAAGCTTTACGACAGTGTAGTGGCGTTCATGTGCGTTAAACTCATAAATACGATCTCTACGAGATGACTTGAACGCACCATATAACAATACCATTTAGAGCAATTTTTTCCAGCTGGTGAACGATAAAAACATTAACAGCCAATCAGAATCCATCCTGCTTTAACGAGCTCGAGCATTTAAAGTGGCAGACAACAAAACTACAGCACCTGTAATATACAGATCGTCATCGCGCTTTGGTGTGGACGCTAACACAGTTATCGTTCTTGGTTTAAAAGGGCCTTTACCGTGGCGTTAACTAACTTGCTCAGCAAAACTCTCTCAAACTGTCACTGAACTGAAACAAACAAGGAAAAGATTGATTTATACAGCACCGCTTTCCATTTCAGGATGCAGCGCGAGTTTGAGTAGATTACGTTTCTGCCCCAACGATTCAGTCTCTGACTAAATATTAAACATCATGTTAAATTAAGTTCGGTGAAGGTGACAGTCAGTTATAATCACATCATCTCGGAGGATCTGCACAGTTAGCACACGTACATCTCAGAGATGTCTATTTGATGTTCGGGTTACATCTTAATTATAGAGCATTTGCTCATCTGCAATACGGTTCCCGTCAGATTTTAAACAGATGTTTAGAAAATGTCTTTAAGATATTTATGATTTAAAATGCAAAACTAAACTAAGACGTTTGTGCTCTTTAGCAGACGTCTAACAGACGTACCTGTGCTATCTGGGAAATCCACTTAAACTTGTAACTTAAAAACATGTAATACTTATATATAAAAAAGACATGAGCTCATAAGCAATATATATATCAGACATCATGTTAACAAGCATCTGAATCATATAACACATGACTTAAAGGCACAGGATACACTTCTGACCTCAGATAATGTGAGAATCTGAGCTGACACAGTAAAGCACATCTTTCTCAGGAAAGGGTGTGTATTATTAACAGCATGTTGAAATTTGTTTTAATACCAGCCATTTTGTATATCCACATCATTATTACATTTTAATAGTTATATACTATGAATTGTTTTGTGAAAAACATTTATTGTTTTATAATGTAAATATAGGAATAACGCTGGTACGTTGGACCTGAGGTGGGGAATGTGATTTCTTAAATATTAAAGTTATTTAAAAATAAATTATTAAAAAAAAATACATTTATTTTAAAATGGCACCGTCTCCAGAGAATGAGCCTTTAGCACACACACCGGCAGAATGCAATTTTACATGTACAGAGAAATTACATCTGATTTTAGCAATACACACACTAAATATATTTAAGAAACTAAAAAATAAAAACAATTTTATTTTATAAGTGGTCGACCAATATTGATTTTTAAGGCTGATGCTTAGAGAGCAGTGTGGACTAATTTATATTACTTAATATTTAATAAATTGTGAATAAATAATTTGGTAAAAAAAAAAAAGGAAATAATCTGTAAAATAACAGACTTACATTGTACTTTAGATGGCAACTTAATTCTGCAGTCCTATATTACAGTATTTTCACAAGTAACAAACTTGAATAAAAAGGAAGTAAATACTGTAACCAACAGGACACTCAGTAATCTGGGAAGTGTGTGTGCATTGATTGTTTAGATAACACTAATTTTACATACAGGTCACAGTATGAATGACATGAACATGACAGTGGATTCGAGCATAGTTTAATATCAAGGGTTATCCCAAAAGTCAAAAACCCAAAGTCATGAATTTAACTTACGCGCAATATTTAAATATATTCAAATTGCAAAGTCCGACTGTTACGTTTTTATGCGGTCTACAAATACACACTTCAGATATCTCACAGCTGGATTCAAGGAAGTCTGCAAGGATTGAGAAATGAATGTTTATTGAATATTCAAAGATTTATTTAAATGATATAAATACGTACTTGCCGAGTCAGAATCTTTTTTCGTTAACGTTAAAAAATAAATACGACCTCACTTTGTGTGAATCACGTTTACACATGCCTCAGAAACTCGCATCGGTTAGTAAAAAAAAAAACGGATCGGGTTCAATTTTCTGCATTTTTCATATCTGTAGCTCAAGCATTTTGGGAGGTGTTTAGACCGAAAGACGAAAACGGAAAAAAAAAAACGCATACGAAAAATTTCAAGACCTTAAAGGCCATTGCACACCGAGTCCGAAATTTTCATATGCATTTTTACATATTCGTGATTCGGTGGCTCTGAATTGTCAAAACACCCTTCAAACTCCATTCAAACTGCCTGCTATGAATGCGAAAAATGCAGAAAATCGAACCCGATTAGATTTTTTTTATGACGGACGAAAGTTTCGGAGGCAGTGTGCAAGCGTGATTGACATAACGTGAGGTCGTATTTTTTTTTAACGTGCGAAAATTTTGGACGCGAATTTCGGACTCAGTGTGCAAGGGCCTTAAATGAAAAAGTATTATATTGTTTGTGTTTATTACTATTGGGAGCATGGGATAGCATGGGATGAGCGCTGTCAAAATAAAAGTTGAAACCTCAGCCAAACAGAAAAGAGTATCATAACATGGCAAATATCGGTGGATATATCAACCTTGGCAATATATCGGTCAACCACTTGAAAAAAAGATATATAAAAATGTTATATTGCAATGCTTCACATAATGTGTTTATAAAAATAATATTTAAAACCGGAATGAGAACCTATGTGTGTGTGTGTATGAGTGAGAGAAAGTTTCCTGCAGCTTTTTGTACTTAGACCATGAAGGCACCAAAAACGTTCTCGTACGTGCTATGGAGGACCAGCGAGCTGTTATTGACCATCACGAACACACTGTCTCCTTTACTCAGCTGGAAGATGCCGCCCAGGTAACTGTTGCCCCGCCCGCTCCTCGACTGGGGCTTATCCGGCACGCAGAGGATCCTGCAGTGAACACATTCATGATTGTAATGTTGACAGAAGTCATCTACGTAACGTGCACAGCTTCTCTTTTCAGCGGACTGAATTAATTGCACTATTTAGACTTAGAAATAGTCATTATGCTATTTCTAAGTGATTACGCCATTTCTGCAACATAATGCTACTTCTACGACATTACTCTATTTCTATGCCATTTCTACAACATTACGCTATTTCTACATCATTACGCTATTTCCATGTCATTACACTATTTCTATAGCATTACACTATTTCTATGTCATTACGCTATTTCTATAGCATTACACTATTTCTATGTCATTACGCTACCTCTATGACATTACGATATTTCTACATCGCTATTTCCACGTCATTACGCTATTTCTATGTCATTACGCTATTTCTATATCATTACGCTACTTCTACGACATTATGGTATTTCTACATCATTACACTATTTCTACATCATTACACTTTCTACGACATTATACTATTTCTACATCATTTCGAGGTCATTCCGCTATTTCTACGCCATTATGCTATTTCTACGTCATTACATTATTTCTAAATTTTACACTATTTCTACGCTATTTCTGTCATTACGCTATTTCTACATCATTACTTTATTTCTACATTTTATCCTATTTCTACACTATTTCAACATCATTACGCTATTTCTACGTCATTGCTTTATTTCTACATTTTATCCTATTTCTACCCTATTTCTACATCATTACGCTATTTCTACGACATTACCCTATTTCTACAACATTACGCTATTTCTACATCATTACACTTTCTACGACATTATGCTATTTCTTCATCATTACGCTATTTCTACATCATTTCGACGTCATTGCGCTATTTCTACGTCATTCCGCTATTTCTACGTCATTACGCTATCTCTACGCCATTACGCTATTTCTATGTCATTATTTTATTTCTACATTTTAAACTATTCTACGCTATTTCTACGTCATTACGCTATTTCTACATCATTACGCTATTTCTACGTCATTTTGACGTCATTCCTCTATTTCTACGTCATTACGCTATTTCTACGCCATTATGCTATTTCTACGTCATTACTTTATTTCTACATTTTAAACTATTCTACACTATTTCTACGTCATTACGCTATTTCTACATCATTACGCTATCTCTACGTCATTTTGACGTCATTACGCTATTTCTACGTCATTACGCTATTTCTACGTCATTACGCTATTTCTACGTCATTACGCTATTTCTACGTCATTACGCTATTTCTACGCCATTATGCTATTTCTACGTCATTACTTTATTTCTACATTATACGCTATTCTACGCTATTTCTACGTCATTACGCTATTTCTACATCATTAGGTGTAGATAAGGCGTTTACATGAAGGCTTACAGTCCGACTGAGCCATCAGTCCTGACGGATTATTTGTATGAGTCGTGTTGTCAGACGGAGTACCTGGAGTTCTGTATCAGCTCCATGGGCTTGTATTTGTAGCTCTCCGAGCACTTCATGAGTTTGTGTAGGAAGAATGTGCAACTCTCCAGGTGGGAGATCTTGGAGAAGACGTAATAGTAGCCGTCCTGCTGGATGTACAGACTGTTGTTCTTGTAGTCCATTCCCTTCATGAACATGGGGAAGCCGTCGGTCCTCCAGCCCAGGATGCCGCTGCCTCCAGACGCGGCCGAATCGCCTACACAAACACACTCGAGCTAGATTACATACGTTTGAGTGGTGTCAGTCCATTAAACGCATCCAAAACAAAAGTTTGCATTCACATAATATATGTGTGTGTGTGTGTGTGTTTTCAAGAAACTTAGATATTTATATATAAAATATTTATATATAATAAAAATGATGTAAAATATATATAATACACAAGCAAATATTTCTTAAATATATATATACATGCATGCATTTATGTATACAAAATAATTATACACAGTACACAGTATATACATATCTATATATATACCGCTACTTTAGAGCAAACATGGACTACTAGAGGTTTAACGACCTCATGTTTTTTTCCGTAAAGTAACTAATCGCTGATTACATCATGATTAAATACAGGAGAGAAGGGAACGCTTTGCAACAAGCCACAGTTTGCAACTAGAAGCTAATATTTGTGAGTTGGTGTGTGTTTGTTGAGCCTGAGCCGACACTGGGACACGGCTCGCCTGGAGCACAGCGTTAGTCTATCGCGGCTGCACAACCACTCGTTTTAGTCCATGGGTCGCTATTTCTCACAGTTTTCTGCCTGTTCTAAATCAGATACAGATAAAGTAACACAGTAAAATTATTTACTTGAATGTGTTAGAGAGAGAGCGATTGCGTGTGTGAATTGTTAGCGCTGCGTTTTTCTACTAATAAGCATTAGTTTTTAGTTACTTCAAAAACAGGAAGAAATCTATGCTAGCACTTTTTAGTTCATAAGCTGGTTTATTGATAAAAAAAAAGCAGTGTTGACGGTAAGTTTCGGCACTCCTGAATGATTTGAGTGCGCACTATTGTTTGTATGTGTGTGTGTGTGTGTGTTACAGCACATTAGTTTACTCACGGAATAAACTAAAAGCAGCATTCACCCAATTGAGAGCATCCAGATGCTATAAACCAACAACTAGTGGAGTGCTCTCGGAGTACGCATTTATTTGACATTTTAATTAATGGAAACGGGCGTAAAAGTGGACAAAGATTTCTTATTGCGTGACTCCCTCTATAGGCCAGCACTAGCATTACAGCCAATGTACATCTATGGGATTTTTTAGTTTTAGTTTTATGATTAGCATAAAACAGTAAGCCAGAACACTTTACACTTTTTTTCAATTTGAGCACATTAAAAAACCAATTCGCCCTCACGTTATGTCTGTCACGCTTGCACACTGTAATTTTTACTTTCGTAAAAAGTGTAACAGACGGCACAGAACGGTCAAAATGTTTTTAATGGATTTTAATCTTTTACTATGGAAAGACTCTCTCTCTCTCTCTGTGTGTGTGTGTGTGTGTGTGTGTGTGTACCTACTTAACCACATTTTGGGGACAGATTTGTTCCCAGAAGTGAGCTCAACCTGACAAAACCTCAAAATGTTATAGTTTTATTCTATTATTGTAAAAATGAAGGTTTTATGTTGGGGATTGCAGTATTTATAACTAGCTGTACTGTATTTAATTAAAAGTAGTATACGCAATGTCCCCATTCATTCTGATAGTTGAGTAAACGTATGTGTGTGTGTGTGTGTGTTTTCATACTTAGCAGAAATGCTGCCGGTTTGCCATCAGCTTTAGGGGTTTTTTCAGGTAAAATTTCATTAAGATCTGTTGAGAAAACAAGCAGGATGAACATTAAACACATGATGAATAGCAGTATTTCAAACTTGTGCGTGTGTGTTTACCAACCTTTAACACTGGCGTGAAATACGTCCTTCTCTGCCTGCAGATAAATATTTACAGCAGAATTATTAAGATCAACCAAGATATGTTTATATATTGACACACATTTCCGAGCAAAGAAAAACTCACTTTTCTAAACTCCACTTTCTGGATATCTGATGAAATCTAGGGGGAAAAGAGAAATTTTGACAACATGTTTTTTTCTGGATCATTTTGCCGTTTCAGATGTAAATTTTCTGGGAAATTAAAGCCTGTAAACACAAACGTTCAGAGCGATATTTTAATAAATGTATCTATTCGGACCGACACAAACACATAACCAAGAAGATTGTTGTAAGATTGCTGTTAACATAAAAATATGACTTGATGGCGCTCATGACTTAGTCTGTAAATCTAGTATTTCAGATTAGATTTAGTATGTCTTCATTTACATTTTTTGATCTCATAATTTCACGTTTTCCTCATAATTGATGACATATTTATCTCATAATCATGATTATGACTTGATATGTCATAATTATGACTTTTTATTAAGATTTACCCAAGCATGATTATTTTGACTTGTGTGTGTGTTTGAAATAGGCTGATCTGCTAAACGGCATCTAATGTGTGTTCATGTGTTTGCTTTCTCAGGCCCTGAAACTAAGTGTGCAAACCAGTCTATATGTTTACAGGAAATCAACACTTATACAGAACTATGTCAATACACTGCGGGGGTTGTGTAACCTAGTGGTTAGTGATCTGGGCTAGTTACCAACATTCAGAGGGTTCAAACCTCCACCAAACACACATCTGAACCAAGATCCATTAGCTAAAAGACAGATTCATTAATGCCACTATAGATCAGCAGAGAGATGTGTATTATTAGCAGAGGACACTAGCTATCACACTACTTTTGCTTGTGTGTAAAAGTGGAGTTCAAGAGACACTAGAAAAGCATTTGGCTGTTTCTCCTCCATCATAAACGAGTGTGTGTCGACAAAACTGTCATGTTCTCTGGCGCTCGGATGCTGGTGTTTGGGAACACACTCGTTTGTGTGACCCAATCATTCAGATCACACACTTCGACTCCAGCGTTTCAGAAACAATAAACCAACATTAGAGACGCTGCGACGCCATTGGTCCACTGGCTACTCCAGTTATCCAATCACAGTTATCTTTTGTGTGCAATCATGTCCATTTGGTTCTGCGTTTGGATATACATTTAGACTTCATCGTGGCTGATTTGTAAACTATAACCCCAAAATATTAAGCTTGCAGGGCAACCACCCAGTAGAGCATTACAGTAATCTAGCCTTGATGTCATGAACACATGAACCAATTGTTCCGCATTTGTCAATGAGAGCATATGACGTAATTTGGATATATTTTTAAGATGGAAAAATGCGGTTTTACAGATACTAGACACATGACTTGAATGAGAGATTGGTATCAAAGAGCACACGCAGGTTCCTAACCGATGACGAAGACTTAACAGAGCAGCCATCGAGTGTTGGACAGTTTTCCAGGCTGTTACGTGATGAGGAAGTTTTTTGTCCAATAATTAGAATCTCTGTTTTTTTCAGAATTTAGTGGTAATTACTAGTCATCATTTAATCATTTGTTCATCTCTAACGAGAGCTGTCTCAGTGCTATGGTATGCTCTAAATCCTGATTGTTCCTTTATTGAAAGAAATGATATCTGAGAGGATTTTCACAGTTGTGAGGATACTGCCTTTTCTAGCATCTTTGACAGAAAAGATAGATTAGAGATTGGCCTGTAATTGACTAAATTCTGTAGGATCAAGTTTCGTTTTTTTTTTTTTTTTTTTTTTTTACAAGCAGTTTAATAACAACCAGCTTAAAAGTTTTCAGTGCATACCTAATGACAAAGATGAATTAATGATATTGAGAAGAGGATCTATGACCTCTGGAAGCATCCCTTTCAGTAGTGTAGTCGGTATAGGGTCTAACATACATGTTGACGATTTAGATGATTTAACGATTTAAAAAAACGATTTTCCTCTCCTACAGTAATGAATTAATCAACCTGAATCAACAAGTTCAATGTTTAAAGAATAGCCTTTTCTAATCAGCCTTTTCTAATCCGTATGACTGACTGAGTGAGTGACTTTATGACTGAAAGCCACAAGGACTCAGGAGTGTGTGTCTGCAGTACTGACCATGTGTCTGCTGTAGAGATGGCAGATAACTCTATGCTATAGAAATGAAGCACTGACCGTGTGTCTGCTGTAGAGATGGCAGATAACTCTATGCTATAGAAATGAAGCACTGACCGTGTGTCTGCTGTAGAGGTGGCAGATAACTCTATTGCTATAGAAATGAAGCACTGACCGTGTGTCTGCTGTAGAGATGGCAGATAACTCTATTGCTATAGAAATGAAGCACTGACCGTGTGTCTGCTGTAGAGATGGCAGATAACTCTATGCTATAGAAATGAAGCACTGACCATGTGTCTGCTGTAGAGATGGCAGATAACTCTATGCTATAGAAATGAAGCACTGACCGTGTGTCTGCTGTAGAGATGGCAGATAACTCTATGCTATAGAAATGAAGCACTGACCGTGTGTCTGCTGTAGAGATGGCAGATAACTCTATTGCTATAGAAATGAAGCACTGACCGTGTGTCTGCTGTAGAGATGGCAGATAACTCTATTGCTATAGAAATGAAGCACTGACCGTGTCTCTGCTGTAGAAGTGGCAGATAACTCTATGCTATAGAAATGAAGCACTGACCGTGTGTCTGCTGTAGAGATGGCAGATAACTCTATGCTATAGAAATGAAGCACTGACCGTGTGTCTGCTGTAGAGATGGCAGATAACTCTATGCTATAGAAATGAAGCACTGACCGTGTGTCTGCTGTAGAGATGGCAGATAACTCTATGCTATAGAAATGAAGCACTGACCATGTGTCTGCTGTAGAGATGGCAGATAACTCTATGCTATAGAAATGAAGCACTGACCGTGTGTCTGCTGTAGAGATGGCAGATAACTCTATTGCTATAGAAATGAAGCACTGACCGTGTGTCTGCTGTAGAAGTGGCAGATAACTCTATGCTATAGAAATGAAGCACTGACCGTGTGTCTGCTGTAGAGATGGCAGATAACTCTATGCTATAGAAATGAAGCACTGACCGTGTGTCTGCTGTAGAGATGGCAGATAACTCTATGCTATAGAAATGAAGCACTGACCGTGTGTCTGCTGTAGAGATGGCAGATAACTCTATGCTATAGAAATGAAGCACTGACCATGTGTCTGCTGTAGAGATGGCAGATAACTCTATGCTATAGAAATGAAGCACTGACCGTGTGTCTGCTGTAGAGATGGCAGATAACTCTATTGCTATAGAAATGAAGCACTGACCGTGTGTCTGCTGTAGAGATGGCAGATAACTCTATTGCTATAGAAATGAAGCACTGACCGTGTGTCTGCTGTAGAAGTGGCAGATAACTCTATGCTATAGAAATGAAGCACTGACCGTGTGTGTAAAGATGGCAGATAACTCTATGCTATAGAAATGAAGCACTGACCATGTGTCTGCTGTAGAGATGGCAGATAACTCTATGCTATAGAAATGAAGCACTGACCATGTGTCTGCTGTAGAGGTGGCAGATAACTCTATTGCTATAGAAATGAAGCACTGACCGTGTGTCTGCTGTAGAGATGGCAGATAACTCTATTGCTATAGAAATGAAGCACTGACCGTGTGTCTGCTGTAGAGATGGCAGATAACTCTATTGCTATAGAAATGAAGCACTGACCGTGTGTCTGCTGTAGAGATGGCAGATAACTCTATGCTATAGAAATGAAGCACTGACCGTGTGTCTGCTGTAGAAGTGGCAGATAACTCTATGCTATAGAAATGAAGCACTGACCATGTGTCTGCTGTAGAGGTGGCAGATAACTCTATGCTATAGAAATGAAGCACTGACCGTGTGTGTAAAGATGGCAGATAACTCTATGCTATAGAAATGAAGCACTGACCATGTGTCTGCTGTAGAGGTGGCAGATAACTCTATGCTATAGACATGAAGCACTGACCGTGTGTATGCTGTAGAGGTGGAAGATAACTCTATGCTATAGAAATGAAGCACTGACCGTGTGTCTGCTGTAGAGGTGGCAGATAACTCTATGCTATAGAAATGAAGCACTGACTGTGTGTCTGCTGTAGAGGTGGAAGATAACTCTATGCTATAGAAATGAAGCACTGACCATGTGTCTGCTGTAGAGATGGCAGATAACTCTATGCTATAGAAATGAAGTACTGACCGTGTGTGTAAAGATGGCAGATAACTCTATGCTATAGAAATGAAGCACTGACCATGTGTCTGCTGTAGAGGTGGCAGATAACTCTATGCTATAGACATGAAGCACTGACCGTGTGTCTGCTGTAGAGGTGGAAGATAACTCTATGCTATAGAAATGAAGCACTGACCGTGTGTCTGCTGTAGAGATGGCAGATAACTCTATTGCTATAGAAATGAAGCACTGACCATGTGTCTGCTGTAGAGGTGGCAGATAACTCTATGCTATAGACATGAAGCACTGACCGTGTGTCTGCTGTAGAGGTGGAAGATAACTCTATGCTATAGAAATGAAGCACTGACCGTGTGTCTGCTGTAGAGATGGCAGATAACTCTATTGCTATAGAAATGAAGCACTGACCGTGTGTCTGCTGTAGAGGCTGTAGAGGTGGCAGATGCAGCCCGCCTCGAGGATCACGCCGAGCAGCGCCGCCGCCAGCAGCAGGTGCATGAGCTGGAGTCGCGGGACGTCCTGCTTGCCGCTCGGCTGGCTCGGGAACGCCTGGCTGTCCACCACGAACACCTGAGGAATGCGCTTCTTCTCGCCCGTGTCCGGCATGGTGACGCCACAGCACTGAGCTAATCAGACTCACTCTCCTCCATGCACTCACTGCATCCTCAGCGACAGCACAGCTCACACACCTGCATCTGAGGGAATGAGAGAGATATAGTGTGTGTGTGTGTGTGTGTGAGAGAGAGAGAGAGAGAGAGAGAGAGAGAGAGTAGGGAGTGGTTCAACAAGGGACAGAAACTAGGATGAGGAAGTGTTGCTGTCTAATGATAAATCATCCGTCACTTCATCTGTACGCACGTCTTCTGTTGCGGTTCTCTATATTGCTCAACTTTTTTTTTGCAATATGAAAAAAGTAAGAAAAAAAATCATACAAAATCAATTGTACAAAAAGTAACAATATTCTACTTATCAGAAACTTAACTTACAATAACAATAGCCTACTTGATTACAAAAAATTAATGTATTTAATTTTATAGACTTTATTCAATACACTACTTACTGAATAAAATAACTTTTTATTATTGTTACTTAAAAAAAAAAACAATATCTTTTATGTAATATCATTAGAGCCACTGAAGTACCGAACAGGAAAAAGCTGATGTTGAGTAATTTCATTTCTCCAAATATATGATGAAATGTTGAGTCCTGATATCACACTGCGCTTGTTTGTGTGTGTGTGTGTGTGTGTGTGTGTGTATAGGAAAGAGAAGCTGATGCAAGAAGATATGCACAAATATAAAGACAATCCGGAAAAAGCTGAAACAAATACAACTGTGCAACTGCTTATCTGATGACCTAGAGTCTAGTGCACACACTTACTCACACACTTACTCACACACACACACACACACACACACACACACTGAGCTGAGAGTTCCGGTGCTCAGATGTAAGGATGCAGTGAGACAGGAAACAGTTGCACACAAGCTGACCATGAATCATTTCTGAACACACAAACACACACACACACACCTGCCCTCATGAAACTGAACAATAGCTGAACTCTATTGATAATGGTGATAACAAATATAATACATTTACATTTATTAATTTATCTGAGGACAGTGGATTCGAACCCGGGTCTCTCACACCAAAGGCATGTGTCTCACCCACTGCGCCATCACACCCCCCAAAAGTTTACAAATTGTAGAGAATGAATTTCAGAAGATTATGTAGTGGTTCAATGCCAATAGATATCAGCAAAACTAAATTTATGATATCTTGTAGTAAATAAAAAAATATGTTGAAACGTCATTGATTATTAAACGGATTAGAAATAAAAAGGGCACATGAGATTTTTGTTCATACAACTAAAAACTTTGACATTTAATGAATTAACCTTCTAAAAATCGTGTATAAAGCTAATTTGGAAAGTTTACCAAACAATTTGCAAAAAAAATCACCAAGAGGAAAAGTATTTATGAGCTAAAAGGTACAGTCTTGAAGTCCATTTATGTGGTTAAGAAGTTTTTGTCAAATTATCAATGTTGCAGAAATATAATACTGCGGAGTAGCAGAGAAGCAACTGATTGTCAGATTTATTATTTTCCACACGTGTCGTTAATCAGCAGGACTAAACCTATGGACTAAACGAGATGGTTTAACTGTGCCGCCATCTAGCGAAAACAGATCATATTAGTGTGTAAAATAATATCCGATTAAATACCGAACTGCTGTCTGAAGTGTGAACTAGCCTGTATTTTACCAATATCTATAATTTGTTATATTAAAATGGTTTATAAAGTTAATCTTATCTATAATTGCTTGATGTTTATTATGATTACACGATTCAATAATAATATTAAAAAGTTTCGACGCCATGGTTTTACGCCGCATGTGTAAAACGCGAGTCCCTGCGCGCTGATTGGCTGCCGCGTGGACACTCGGTGAGCTCTGATTGGCTGAGAGCGAAAGTTAGGCTACGGAAGCGGAACACATCCGTCACTGGACGGACGGGGGGGGGTTTAACTGGTTTTTCTGCAAAAACTCCGCCACAAACACCGTTTAAAAGGCTCTTTCTGTAACAAAACAGCATGGATGATGTGCGGAGGTTGTGTGTGTCTCTGCTCGCGGTGTTTATCGGCGTGGTGAACGCGTTCAGTCCCACAGACAGCGAGTTCACGTTCCTGCTGCCCGCCGCCAGTAAAGAGTGCTTCTACCAGAGCGCCGTCCTCAACGGCAGCATCGAGATCGAGTACCAGGTAACGTTACATCTCTAACTGTCAACATATACATGTAACGTTAACGTTACATCAGTACCTGTGAATATACACGGACGCTTTCAGGACTTTAGATCACGTTCTGGAGAGGTTTTCCTCAAAGTTATGAGGCAAACGTTCTTCCTGTGACGTCAAAATAACGTTAATATTATCAAAATGTTCGCTCAAAAACATGAGGTAACACTTTATTTTTGATTAATATTACTCGGTATTTAAATATAGAATTACACTGTAATAATGACACCTCAAAATAAAATGTATTTATAACATTTTATCAGAACTGTAACGATAAATACGTATGGTTTAAAAGTCTATAATAATATTGCTTTATAATAAGTGTCGAGCCTTACATGTCTTTACCAGTTAAACTACAGGGTGTGAGCTGTTTGTTTATCGTGGTGGCCTGTTGTGTGTCCTGCCTCACATCCGTGATCAAATGATAATCATATTCAGTCAACAGTCACAAATATGATTCTCCTAGTTTTTCTTTTATTATATAGATAAAAAAAGTGAATTTTGTTTACCTGTACAACTGTGATGGGATGTTGTGGTTGTTAAGGAGTTCTGAGTGGTTGCTAGGGTATGCAGCAGGTAAAGGAGGATATGACGTTGTTCCCTCAGGTGATCGCAGGAGCAGGTATGGATGTGGATTTCTCCGTCGTCTCTCCCGAGGGAATGTACCTGGTCTCGGAGTTTCGCCGTTCTGACGGCGTTCACATGTGAGTGTTCGCATTTCCCTCACTCCACATTTATGTCTGGGCATCACACTATGGTAGATGAATATGATTATTAGCTAGTACTACGGTGTTTATTACCACCTCATCATACATAGTTGTACCATAGTGCTGACACCGTAGTCTTCGAAAGGGTTCTCACAGAACCTGCTGCTTTACTGTCAGCTTTCTACGTAAACGCGCGCTACGCCATTACGTTATAACTAAAATAACATATTTTTCATTACACTTCTCTGCGTCTCACATTTGTAAAAGCAAAAACCAGTTCTGTGTGAATCTCCCCTCAAGGAATATAAGTACAGTAATTGCACAGGAGATTCATCGTTGTTTTAGAACGATTGGCGTTCCTGTTCCTGTTGTTTCCTCGCCTGTGATTGGTCCGTTGTGTTTTCAGGGTGGAGCCCACAGAGGCGGGAGATTATCAGATCTGCTTCGACAACACCTTCAGCAGGTTTTCCGAGAAGATGGTCTTCTTCGAGGTCATCCTGGACAACCCATCCAATGACGCGGGAGCGGACGACGAGTGGGCAGGGCTAGGAGAACCAGAGAGCCTATTGGAGTACAAGCTGGACGACATAAAGGTGTCACATGATTATATAGCGTTGAGTTTTGAACTATTATTCTTAGTGAAATATAATTCGCTGTATGGGCAACATCTAATCATTTTTAATTTAAGTTTTAAGTTTAAGTAAGAGTAATGTTTACAGTAATTAACTTGCAACTGAAGTCTGTGTTTTCTGTTAAAGCCCACACCGTCTTGAGAATTGTTTATTTGATTAGTGAACTTATTAATTATTTCATTTAAAAAATCAGTGTGAAATTCTGGTTCCCTAGATAGGCGTTATTAACTTTAAACAGTTTTATTTTAGTATAATTTATATACTATTATGCTTCTTATTAATATTTAAATTTGATTTATTTTTATTTTTTATGGTAAATGGTAAATGCAATTGACAAACTCCCAATTGCAAAAAATATAAATAAAATTATAATAATTACATTTTTTTTACAAATTTGCGTCTTTCTCAGAATTGCATGTTCACATCTCACAATTTGGATTTACAAAAAAAAAAAAGTCGTAATTCTGAGAGTCACGTTTTTGATATTTTGATTGTTATGCGGTGGTGGAAACCAGTTTCCATGTTTGACCCGGAGTATAAAACGCAATAACCTGGAGTTTCCCGCGGCAGGAGTCCATGGAGGCGGTCCACCGGCGTCTGGAGCGCAGTCGTCAGATGCAGACGGTCCTGCGCGCGTTCGAGGCTCGCGACCGAAACCTGCTGGAGGACAACCTGTGGCGGGTCTCCTTCTGGTCCTGTGTCAACATGCTGGTCATGCTGAGCGTCGCGCTCACTCAGGTCTACACCGTCCGGCGGCTGTTCGACGACAAGCGGAGAGTCTGCTCCTAACACACACACACACACACACACACGCTCGTGTGTCGAGGCCCGAGACCAGGCGGAGACCGCCGTGCCTTTAGATGGAGTAGACGCTTTCCTATTGGACGATCCTTCGTGGCGTTTCCGGGTGCCTGTGAAGTTCAGTCACGCAGTCGAATACCGAACTGCTGAAATCATCATCGTATCAGACCAAACCAATCGTCTGATCGCTTGAGGACGCAAGACTTCACATTTCTGTCCATTTCATGTCTTCCTGTCATAGTTTTGTCACTTTGTTTTTTTTGTCATTTCATGATGAGATGATGGCGTTTGGGACAGCGTTACAGTTTGCAAAGGGAACCTTCTGTACAGCCTTTTAAGACTTTTACACAATAAACAAATAAAACGGGTCATATATTTGTACGTGGTGTCGCTAGTGTTCAATGATCAGCTCAAATCAACTCTTTTGTGCACATTTTATCAACTCTGTTTACATAGAGACCTTCGTTTTTAACCGCTCGATTCATTCACGGATAGAAATTCAGTACAAATCTGGTTTAATTTGGAAATGCGTCACATTTACGAAGCTTCATGTCAGTAATGAAGACAATCGCATCCATTTCACACTGAATATCTGAGGGACAAGAAATCAAAGCAGTCGCTTAACAAATTGCCCTTTTATTCTTATAATCACTGCATTACGACACGTTTGCTTTTGTTCGCAGTCCTTGCGAAAGGTCATGAAAGAGAGAAACAATGAAGGAGTGAAGAACCAATGAAAGGTCACGCCTCCGGTTAGTCACATGATGTATAAAAGTGTTCAAGTAGAAACATCCATAAACTGCTGTAGTTGAAGAGGAATAAGACTCTTATTGTGGGAAAGTGTTGACACTCGACGGCTGCAGAAGCGAGCGTAGTTTAGTGTGTTACACACACACGCATTACAGCGTTAATGTGTCGAGCGGTAAAGTGCTAAACGCCAGAGGAGATCATGTGATCATGCGCCATCATTATAAACACAACACAGAGGAGGAGTGTTGAAGAGGTTCAGTCGTCTCTGTGTGTCTGTGTACGTGATGATGATGTCATGCGTTTAAGTGTTGCTCGTTCTCCCAACAACGGAAATGTTTATCGAAACAAATCATTATTACTACAACTACTACTTAAAGTGTATCAAAAATCATCTCTCAATCAAATTTTGAGTTGACGTCCTTATTTGCACTTGTGTGTGTGTGTGTGTTTATATTAGTGTCTGTGTGTGTGTGTATTAGTGTGTTTGCTTTGGCAGTGTGCGAGTTGAAAGTGTCTCAGTCCAGCAGAGACGGTTCTGACGGTCTGATGATCGTGGGCCGGTTTGGAGCCGCTGGAGGTCTCCTGCTACACACACACACACACGAAAACACATCATGGTATTGCTGCACTATGAAATCAGTTTAGCCAGTTTTAATTGTTCAAGATTCTGTTTAAATGGATAAATAAATCAATAAGAATTTATTCAGAATAACTGAATTACATTTTGAATACAATTTATTAAAACATAATACATTTTTAGAGTTCTATGACAAGTTTCCCCACCCCAAATTCTGTTATTTTCATTTTTTCTGGATTCCATTTTTTTTCTTCAGTTTTTGTTCATGATTCGGTGTTAATGGCTAAATTAGATTTTAGTAATCAATAACCAGCGCAATTTGAAATCATGACATTGATACAATTCAACAATAAGTTGCTAGAAGTTTAACAAAAATTAAAGTATTTTAGGGCCACATGAAATCGGTTTTATTTTCCTCAGTTTCTGTTTTTTTTTTTAATATATATTTCTGGATTCCATTTGAATGATCTAATTCAATTGTAATAACTATTAAGCATTTCTAATTAATTTAAATGTATATATTTTGAGATTCGATTTAAATATTATTTAATTATATATAATATAAATATAATTTTTTCCTAAATTGTAATTTTTCTGGATTTCATTATAATGTTTTATTTAGGTTGTAATAATCAATAAGCATGTATAATTAATTGAATTTATAAAACATTTAACAATTTGATTAAAAACAATTCCAATGATGAATTCCTTATGGAATGTGGAGTTATGGGTGTTGCCTGTTTTAATTCTTCTGGATTTATGATTCTAAAAGATTTATGATTCTAAAAATTAATATAAAAATATTAATTTTATAAAAATATTACAAAAATATTAATTTTTTACAAATATATTATTAGAAACGAAGGCATAAAACATTTTACAATTTAATTAATCTCTTGAAAACGTGTGGCAACAAAGTGGTATGATGAAAATTTAAGTGATATTCTTTAAAAAGTGTAACATTTTAATAATTTTGTTATTATTATATAGTCAAAGTTAATGAAAAGCAAAGGTAATTAGTGCTGTCACAAGACCAGCCATTTCTAAATATCAGTCAGATCTCATCATATTTGGCACCAGCTTCAACACTCTTCATTATCTATGACATTTGCATAAACATGAATAACAAACTCGAAGCGTCTCCGGTGTGATTTTCTGAGTTCAGTTTCACATAACTCAATGAGTCAATCTAATTGGCTCATGTCATGAATATTAATTACATTCGGCCGTAGGAATAAAATAATGGCAGTACTTCTTCGGCTAGTCAGCCAATTAGAGAGTCTTACTACGAATAATCCGTGCCTCATGAATATGTTATGGAACTTGACATGTGATCTATTTAATATTCATAAGCCTTCATTATAGAGGCAACTGGAAGTTAATAAAGGTGTGTGGTGTTTGAGGAGGGTGTTGGGCGTACCTGGGGATGCCGGGCGGCAGAGCGGGCGGCACGCGTGCGGGGCGGGACGGCACCTGAGGGGGCGGAGCCAGCGGGTCCAGAGCGCCGGCGGGCCTGTACGGCACCGGAGGAGCCCCGAACGCAGGCGAGGGGTTCAGGGGCGGCGGGGCCGGCGGGCCGGGGGTGGAGCCGCGCACGGCAGGGGGCCGGCCGGGGGGCGGAGCCACGCCTGCCGACGGCTTCCGCTGAGACGGGGGACTGAGAAACACCGCCGTTAGGATCAGAGCAGTCGCGGGGTTATTAGATCTGACTGAGATACAAACATGAACAGTTAAGCCAAGGTTTCCTAAGTTTGGGAATATCCCTGATTTGACACATGATGCTTGTACGCTACCAGTCAAAGGGTTTGGATTGGTAAATCCAAGGTGACTTAGGAAACCCTGGCTTAACTGTTCATGTGTAGATCTCGTGTGTGAAGGCTGTTAGAGTACCTGGGGTCGGTGTGTATCCAGGTGTCGTCCACCGGAGGCGGGACCGGTGCTGATATGGTGCTGGTGCTGATGTCCCCGATGATGAGCAGCGCCTCCTTGAGCGCGTGATACATGCGGAGCATCTCGTCTCGCCGCTGCGCCTGATCCGCCGACTCCTCCATCAGACTGTTCTGATCGCCCGACGAGTACAGGTACGCCAGCAGCTCCGAGTGGATGAAATCCTTCGCCTGACACACACACACACACACACCGGATCAGCCCGGCTTCAACACGCCTGACTGGATCCAATGGACCCCCAAACTAACTGCGAAAAACTCCCAAAAACAATATATACGTATATAAACCTCATTAGTCCAACACAAACAAAACATAAATTAAACAAAATAATAGAAACAACTAAAATAAAACCTAATAAAATTAATAAACCCTGAAAGTCCTTAAGAAATTAAAACATAAAAATAAAAAAAATACTAATTAATAAATAAACATCAGAACTCCAACGCAAAGAATTTATAATCTTAATAAAAATACATAAATATAATAAATCTCAAATAATCCAATGCTAAAAACAAATATTAATATTAAAAATTATAAAAATAAATAATCCCCAAAATTCCTTGAAATAAATCATATTAAATCAAAACTTCAACACAAAATACATAAAACAAAACATTAAATAAACCTCAAAACTCCAACTCAAAAAAACAGATACAAACCAGCCCCGAAACAAAAGAATGAATGACAACAAAAAACTCCTGAAACATCTAAAACTAAAAATACTAAATATAAACAAATAAAAGTTAAAAAAACAAAACCCAAACCCCAATGCCACAGAAAAGGAAAAAGCGAAGTACCTTCTGTGATTGACAGGTGAATAAGACATGTGATCAGTATAAGATGATGGCGTAAGCCCCGCCCACACTCACGCTGTTGATCATCAGGTGCATGATGGCCTTGGGCATCAGGTCTCGGATGCTCTTGTTGACGATGCCGATGTAGGAGTCCACCAGGTTTCGGATGGTCTCCACCTGCCGCTCCAGCTGAGGGTCCATGGAGAGAGAGTCGGCCGCCACCCCTTCCCCGTTCTCCACCTGGAAACACACCAGAGTCAGCGTGAGTCACTGAGACTGATGTGCGTTTGAGACTCAGGTAAGACAGGCGAGACAAGACTCAGGTGAGACTCAGGTAAGACATGGGCGAGACGAGACTCAGGTGAGACATAGGCGAGACAAGACTCAGGTGAGACTCAGGTAAGACATAGGCGAGACGAGACTCAGGTGAGACTCAGGTGAGATGAGACTCAGGTAAGACACAGGTGAGGTGAGACACAGGTGAGACAAGACTTAGGTAAGACACAAGTGAGACAGGGTGAGGTGAGACAGTGAGGTGAGACAGGGTGAGGTGAGACGAGACTCAGGTAAGACAGGTGAGACAGGGTGAGGTGAGACACAGGTAAGACTCAGGTGAGACAGGGTGAGGTGAGAAGAGTCTTAGGTAAGACAGGTGAGACAGGGTGAGGTGAGACTCAGGTAAGACAGGGTGAGGTGAGACGAGACTCAGGTGAGACAGGGTGAGGTGAGACTCAGGTAAGACACAGGTGAGACAGGGTGAGGTGAGACTCAGGTGAGACAAGGTGAGGTGAGACTCAGGTGAGACAGGGTGAGGTGAGACGAGACTCAGGTAAGACACAGGTGAGACAGGGTGAGGTGAGACACAGGTGAGACTCAGGTAAGACACAGGTGAGGTGAGACGAGACTCAGGTAAGACAGGGTGAGGTGAGACACAGGTGAGACTCAGGTAAGACAGGGTGAGGTGAGACGAGACGAGACTCAGGTAAGACACAGGTGAGACAGGGTGAGGTGAGACGGTCACCTGGTCTTTCTCGGGATAGACTCCCGCTCGCAGGAACGAGGCCTTCCAGCTGTCCACATCTTCCTGAGTGTCGCAGGCCAGCTCGATCTGACGCAGGTCTTTATACACATTCCTGAAATCACAACATCACACATGAAATCATCAATGATTTGTAACTAAGGCTACGTTCACACTGTCGATGTATTCGATCTAAATTACTGATGTCCACACTGTGTATCGCAACACATCTGATTAGTGTGTCCGTGCAGCTCTTCCGTTTCTGGAATAAGTGCATCGGTTACTATGGCAATGCAGTGCGTCGGTAGGTTTAAACGCATGCATGTGCGTGATAATTGACCCACACTCGGATGAAGAGATGTGAACCGAGCACAAACATAGACTCAGCCGCACCTCTGCTCGGTGTTGAAGATGGCAAACGTGTGTTTGGTGGACATGAACCCTTTCTCAACGTCTCGCAGCTTCAGGTTATCCAGAGGCAGCATGAACTTCTTCTCTTTCTCCTGGAAAACACACACACAGGGATTGTTTTCACAAAAGATGAAGAATAAAGATCTAAACACACACACACACACACACACACCTCCTCATCCTTGTACCAGGACAGGGACTCTGCGGTCAGGATGAACCAGTAGTCCTTGGACCCGCCCTTCATGATGCTGATGTTGATGGTAAGCCAACCGCGTCGGATCACCTGAAGCGAGGGGAGGGACTATGTTAATGAGGCGAAGGAACAGACCAATCGGCAGCTGGTTGAGTGTGTGTGAATGATGTCGTACCTGGTTGGGCATCGCCCTCTTCTTACTGACCGCCGCGCTCCGCTGCTGCGCGCTGAAACACACTGCTGTTAGACTGAATCAGGTCAAAGGTCAACAGGGGTCAGAGGTCAACAAGGGTCAGAAGTCACTCACTTGGCAAAACCGATGAAGTCCTCGTGGTTTGTGTTGATGTAGGAGAGCTCGATGTCGATCAGCAGCATCACCTGCAACACACACACATGAATAAATACACAAACATGAATATATATATTAATGTTACATAAAGAAAATAATGAAGCAGTAAATAACAGGAGGGAGGTTTCCGAACACACACACCTGGTCTTTAGTTTTGCTCTCTCGCTCTCTGACGTATGTGGTGACGATTCTCTCCGTCTCTTCTCTCAGCTGAGGATACGAGTTCAACTACGACACAAACACACACTGAGAGCGGCAGCAGGAACACACACATCATCACAGAGTCTCCGGAAAGACTTTATCAAGACGTCACATGAACACGGATGAGTAGGACTGCATGCGGACCTGAACCGATGTGTGTTTGACGGCGAATGTGATGTGTGTGATTAGTAAATATAATCCCCACAAAGCAAAAACAAACACAAGCTGAGCTCATCCACCACAGACAAACACTGAACTTTACAGGGACTGGATTTGATTGGTTAAGGGATCTGTCAATCAAAGACTGGTCGGTTACAGGACTGGATTTGATTGGGTAAAAGATCTGTCAAAGACGGTTCGGTTACAGGACTGGATGTGATTGGGTAAGGGATCTGTCAATCAAAGACTGGTCGGTTACAGGACTGGATGTGATTGGGTAAGGGATCTGTCAATCAAAGAGGGTTTGGTTACAGGACTGGATGTGATTGGGTAAGGGATCTGTCAATCAAAGAGGGTTTGGTTACAGGACTGGATGTGATTGGGTAAGGGATCTGTCAATCAAAGAGGGTTTGGTTACAGGACTGGATTTGATTGGGTAAAAGATCTGTCAAAGACGGTTCGGTTACAGGACTGGATGTGATTGGTTATGAGATATATCAATCAAAGACAGTTTGGTTACAGGACTGGATGTGATTGGGTAAGGGATCTGTCAATCAAAGACGGTTCAGTTACAGGACTGGATTTGATAGGTTACGGGATCTGTCAGAAACGGTCATGTTTTACCTTCTCGGTGCACTTGAGGATGAGCGTTGCGAGTTCAGACACCACCAGGTCTACACACTTGAGACACGGCTCCTTCAGTTTAACAATCTGCTTTTTCACTATGGCCTCAAAGGCCAGGTCAGGGGTGAACAGCCCCGTCCTGGAGGATCATGGGACAGCGCAGGTGTTATTTGGGGGGATAATTAAGGGCACAATAAGGAAAAAGTGGACGGGTGGATGAAAACACAACGAGGAGTACTTCCTCGTTCCTAAACGAGACGCTTTCTGGAACCGCAGCTCTTTAACCCGCTAGTCGTGGTTTTCTAACACTATTTGAGTGTTAACGGACCGCTTCGTGTCAGATTGTATGGCTGATGTGAAATGTAATTGGAAAGCCGAGCAGTTTTAGTCATTTCATTATTGAAGTAGTCAGCCAATCAGCCTGAAGCAGCATGGCTAGCGTGTTTTTGCTTTGCGGAGCCGTTAGCGTGACATCCTCAGGCGTCTCTCCGTCTACCTTGAGTGTGCACTGCCTGACCGTATTGATGAGCTCCTGGATGACCAGGTCAATGCACTTGAGGCACGGCTCCTTCAGCTTGATCAGCTGCTTTTTCACGATGGCCTCGAAGGCCATGTCAGGGGTGAACAGCCCCGTCCTGAGGTCACACACACACACACACACGGTCAAACAGAGTAAAACCATGCCGTGTGTGATTACAGAAACCATGACTCTAATGAGCCGGTGCGTTTAATGAGATGGTCAAAAATCAGCATTAAGTGCATGTTGAATATGTGTGGTGTATCTGTGCTCTTCGGTCTGCAATTTCTGACCGAACATTTTTACGTTTATATGATACAAAAACTTGGTAAAGTTGGCACTTGCTATGTAATCACACAAAAAATCATGAACATCTTTAGAACAGGTTAAATGCTCCTGAATTAAATATTCACACTTGAGCTGCTCGCGGTCAGAAACGAGCGCAGTGGAAGTGAATGAGAGTTTCCTCTAGTGGAAGCGTTCGGTATTGCAGCCGAACACTCTCACTGAACGATCGTTTATAGAGATATCGAGCTCACATGTGGAACACACACTTATGGATTTTCTTGCAGTTTTAGAGTAAAATGTCTTTTTGAAAATATATATTTCATACACAAATTTAAAATAGTATTTTTGATAAAATATTCGATTAAAAAAAAATTCCATTTATTTCGTTTTTAAAAAGAGATCAAACTTAAGTCTGTCGCTCTAAAGCATTCAAGGTTTACAACAGTTTAATTTGGAAATTTTATTTTCAGGTCTATGGTCAAAAAGTGAATAAATGGATTATAAACACAGCGTAATTATATTTTAGTACCATAAAATATTAAATAAAAAAACATTATCAAACTAAAATATAGTGCATTCCTTTCATTGAAATAAAAATAAAATTCGGTAATTTTTGACCGATACGCGAAGAGCACCCGAGTTAAACAGTTCTAATGTTAAAGAGGTTAAAGCGTGTGTGATATAGGAGTTTAATAAGTGAAAGAATGATGTCCGTGTGTTCTTGCCTGACTCCATGAATGTTCTTGATGGCGTAACTGATCTCTCTCCTCAACTCCTTCTCATCAAACTCCATCTAAACACACACACACACACACACACACACACGTTTATCTACTGTGTTATGGGATTAAAAGGAAATATTTGGCTGAAAATGTAAGTTCTATTATATCAGCGCTGCACGATTCTGGATGAAGTGAGAATCACGATTGTTTGGTTTAAAATAGAGATCATGCCATTAAACATGTCATTTACTAGAGGTTCAGACAAAATGTTAATTGTCTATTTGGTTGAGTGAATGATTCAATGACTCACTCATAAAGGCTTCACTTGTTTCATTACTGAATGAATCAGCGTTTTTGATCGAATCTCTTGAATTGATGATTAAATGACGTCATTTTCTAAGTCAGTTGTCGCCACCTACTGGTGTAATCATGTAATACTCTTTATTTGAAGCATTAAGTTTTTGCTCTATTCTGATCACTACCGTAGACACCAGTGTTTATATCCCAACTATAAACTTTAATGCCCATAACTTTACATTACCCAGCACATCTTGTAGATCAGCTAGTGAGACTCCAGCGAAAGCAAACACAGTGAAACCTGGAGTAGACGAGGCTAGCGTACCTTAACGAGCTCGAAGGGGAAGCGCTCGTGGAAGATGCGGTTGATTCGCGCGCCGCCGGAGAGCTCAAGCGTGTCCACCTGATCGCCAGAGCCCTCGATACGCTTCTCGAAGTCCACGCCGAACTGCTGCACCATCCTACACACACACACACACACACAGTAGTTTAATGCATGTGGTCTCCTCTATTCACACTCATTTCTGTCTATTGACAAATGGAAGTAAAGGTTTGGGTGATATAGGTCTAGGGTTGGGTGTCGTTTGAATCTTAACGATTCAGATTCTGCTCATCGAGTCCGATTCAAGTAAGGAAGAAGGAAAAAAAAAACATTCACATTTATTCTAAGTCTTCTCACAAAACATTTACTTGTGGCCGACAATCACGACCCGGCTAAAGAACACTTACACAAGAAACATGTGGTTTAAAAATACTATAGAAAAACAACTGGCCGAACTAATATAAACTTCAAGCATTGTTAAAAACAAGTAAATAGTATGTAATTTAAAAAGAACAAATTGAAAAAAAAAAAAAAACAGCAATTGCACAAATATACAATTTAAATAAAAATTCAGGAATTCAGGTTCAGAAACTGTAATCTAACGTAAAAAATACATTACACATATATTTAGAGAATTATTAAGTGCAGAACGAGTCTCAGTCTCCTGTAGTGTGATTATAGAGACGGCAGGAATATGAGCGCTGTCACTTTAAGAGCTGCACAGATCTGATTGGCTGAAACACACGCGCCTCCTTTCTCAACTGTTTACGATCACTTAAAACCAGCGTTGGGGAAACTCATCACACGTAAGCCGAGTTATGTAATCAGATTACTTTAAGTAACGGATTACTTTTTCAATATACAAAATATTTAAGTTACTTTTTCACATTTAATTGACTGACGGTCTGTTGTCCTCATTTTGAGAGAAATAAAGTGTGTGAGAAATGATGGTTATTGTAGTTCTAGACTAAATGTGATCTGCATTTACTCGACTCGCTAGCACGAAAACATTCAGTATTCCTCAAAATGAATAAAAAACGTAAAATGCAATCTCGGAATTTTACGCAAAACTTTTACAATTAACCGTATTGAATTACACAAATATACTTTATGTATTTAATCTCACTTTATTAACCAATGTCTTTCAATGATCTAATTCAACCATACTAATACGCAAGCATGACTTTAGATTAGCTCTAGAAATACGAGTGTTGAACTTCCTCCTGTAATCCAGAATAACAGCAGCTGAGAGTCACATTAAAATGCGCACAAATCAATCGAAATCTGGAACCGGTCGTCGACACCCAGCGCTCTACAGGACTGTCTGACACATGTGATCTGATGATGCGTGACTCACTGCAGCAGGGCTTTGGTCTTGCGCGCGGGGTCGTCCGGCTTGAAGCTCTTGTACTCGTCCACCTCTTTCTCCAGCGACAGCAGCTGACTCTGCAGTTTGCTGCGCAGCGCCGGCAGGGTGTCGCGGATGTGGTTCGTCAGTTGCTGGAAACGGGACAAATACAAACGGTGTGCTTAAAGGGGTGATTATAGTTTCACTTTTATAGTTAGTGTGTAATGTTGCGGTTTGAGCATAAACAACATCTGCAAAGTTACGACGCTCAACGCTCAAAGCAAAGGGAGAGATTCGCTTTTAAAGAAATCTCTTTTAAAGGGATACTCCACTTTTTTTGGAAATAGGCTCATTTTCCTACTCCCCCAGAGTTAAACAGTTGGGTTTTACCGTTTTCTAATGTTGTAATGGTAAAACTCGACTGTGGTAAAATGAGCCTATTTCCAAAAAAAGTGGAGTATCCTTTTAAAGGACTACAACAAACGGCTGATAGGAACTACACGAGCTTCCTCCCTGGCTAGTGACATCACAAACCCTAAAATTTACATAAAACCGCCCCCGGGAACATGATTATCAAGACAGAATATGCTAATCAATGATTGTTGTTGTCACTTCTTGAGTCTCTCCATCTTCCGGACTCTCTGTGAGGTAATCAGAGCTGCTCACACACACACACACACAAGCTGCTGAAGCTCCGCCCTCTGTGCCGGGAGCACTAGCTCATTTGCATTTTAAGGGGTCATCAGATGTAAAATTCAACTTTGGTATTTGCATATAAATCTGTGTTTGCAGTGTGTGGACACAATCACCATACAATGAAAAAAAAATCCATTCACTGCTTTATTTTTCATCCTCAACAAGCCTAAACATATGATGTCTCATTAAAGAGACACACACCGGAACGAGGTAGAGGAGGTAAAGCTGGTGTTTTGCACAACCATTGAGAAATTTTAGCCAAAGTATGATACGAACTTTACAGGAAGACCCTAAACAGGGGTCAACCCTTTGAAGGGACACACACAAAAAAAACTGTACGTTTTTGCTCACCCTCAAAAAGTGTCAATTTTAACTCATCTGTGGAGTATTTTGAGCTGAAACACACACACACACACACGTGTCCTGCGGGTGTTGGCACCTGGTTGAGTGTCTTCTGCAGGTACGGTGTGCCCATGCGCTCCGCTATGTGTCTGTACGCCGGATGGGACAGGAAGAACTTTCTCTCGGCCGCCAGAGCCACTCGGATGTCCTTTCTGCCGTCGATGTCTTTCTGACTGCGGTTCACCACGCCGATATAACCTACACACACACACACACACACATTCATCACAGAACATCATTATGAGGAAAACTGGAATAAATCATTTGTGAATAAATCAGTGTTTCCATCCCGTGTGTTCAAGAGAACCGAATCATCACTTCCTGCGAAACTGGATCAATATATCAGTAATAAACGAGTGTGTGTCGAGCGCTGTGGTGTTCTCTGGCGTTCGGGAACACACTCGTGTGTGTGAGACGCTTCTGGAGGGAATACACCAGATCATTCAGATCACACACTTCCGACTCCGGCGTTTCAGAAACACCAAACCAACATTAGAGACGCTGCGACGCCATTGGTCCACTGCCTACTCCAGTTATCCAATCACAGCTGACGAGGAGCCAAACCCAGATAGCAAACTGACATTGAATCAACGTGGAAATATGACATCGAAACAACGTTGATCTGACATTGTTTTGCTCATCGAATTAACGTTGAACCAACGTAAGACGCGTCATTCTTTCAAAACTAGCGGAAAATCAACTTGAAATCAACGCGTTGTTTCAACGTTATGAAAGCAAACCAATTTTCGATTTCATTTAGCTTTGAAGAATGCCGCGTCTGACGTTTGTTCAACGTTAATTCGATAAGCAAATCAACGTTGTTTCAATGTCATGAGAGACGTCGTTTCCACGTTGATTCAATGTCAGTTTGCTGTCTGGGAAGTCACATGGGTTGTATTTCCTCGCTAAATGTTGCCATAGTAGTTTATGCTAATTTCCATCCAGTGATTTTTTTAATGTAATATCCCAAAATTTGCATAAAAAGTGGTGGATGGGAACATTATTACATACCATTGTAGTTTTTGTCAATATTATATTTACAGTGCATTAGCGCCTGCCCCCGTTTTCACTGTGAATGATGTCATCGAGTTGATTCATGGGTGGGCGGAGCTAATGAGATGTTTTGACGTGTTTTGCTTGTTCGACTCTCTGATTGGTGGAATTGTCCGTCTATCATCATGGGTAATGGTCGTGGTATTTTAAAAACAAGCCGAAATAGCGCAGGCTAACGGCGTTAGCAGAAGCAGAAGCGTCGATCAGACACGCTCACTGTAACGGCTTATACGTTAGTGTTTATATGGGGAAAATTGATTGAGTTGCCCTCAATTAGTTTTTATTTCTATGATGTCTTTTCATTTTAGTTAACAGTTTAGTCATTTTGTTGTTGTTTTTTTAACTTTTAAGGGTTTTTTTTTTCAGTTTGAGTTATTTTAGTACATCAAATTACACTAAATGAACATGAGAAATGTTGTCTTGGCAACTAGCTGAAATAAAGTAAGTTTAAGTTTTTCATGTTACATGTTATTCATTATGTAGAAGATATTTGTGTTGGTGTTGGTGTGATTTCCCATGAGGCCATGCGTGCGCACCTCTGCGCAGCGGCAGTAGCTTGTTCTCCAGGATGTCTCTGGCGTCCGTTCCTTCATCCATCAGGTCCAGTTTGGTCATCACGCCGATGGTGCGAAGACCTGCAGGCCAGAGGTCAGAGGTCAGCTATGTGAATGTAAAGTGAACACTCCGTTGGAACGTTACTTATGAATGTTCTCGGAAACGAGTGGAAACATTTAAAAAAATCTCCAACTGAAACGAGTCAGAAATAAAAGTATACAGGGTTCGTACAGAAACTGTCAAATTAAATTCCAGGACTTTCAGGGACTTTTCAAGCACTGCTTATTTGGTTTTCAAGGACTTCAATCAGAGATCTCACTTATCAAACAATATCTTTATTATCTTTAAAATCGCTTTCCTTATTAAACGACCCCTGTGTGACACATAACACTTCATGAACGGACACTGGGAGAGGGTTTGTTCGCGTCCAGCGCCTCACCCTGAGGATCGACCTCTTTGCTGATCTTCAGCGCGTCGGAGTTGGCGAGGTCGGTGTTGGCAGGCGTGACGGCCAGGATCAGGCAGTTCTCTGTGGAGATGAACTGCAGCAGCATGTCTCTGAACACATACACACACACACACACAGAAGAGGCGTTTACATGCACAGCTTCTGTTTCAGTCGGACTGAATTCATTGTGATTGATGAATCTGAATGTAGTGTTTACATGAGCGCTGAACGTGTGATCGGGTCGATGTTTGTTTTTATATGTCACACTCTTCAAATCTGTCTAAGCATAATAACCATTCTCCTGGACTGGTTCTTTATTTGATTTAAACAGCAGACTTAATATTTATCCATATTTTGTCATAATTTGGAGGCAATAATCGTGTGAGCCGTTGCGCCGCTGCTTATATTTATAACCAATCGCCTGTGGATGAGAGTCCACACGTCATCACGCTATTTCTACATAATTTCTACGTCATCGCGCTATTTCTATGTCACGCTATTTCTACATCATCATGCTATTTCTACGTCATCGCGCTATTTCTACGCCATCACGCTATTTCTACGTCATCACGCTATTTCTACGTCATCGCGCTATTTCTACGTCTTCTACGTCATCACGCTATTTCTACATCATAGCGCTATTTCTACGTCATAGCGCTATTTCTACGTCATAGCGCTATTTCTACGTCATAGCGCTATTTCTACATCACACTATTTCTACATCATCACGCTATTTCTACGTCATCACGCTATTTCTACGGCATCGCGCTATTTCTACGTCATCGCGCTATTTCTACGTCATCGCGCTATTTCTACGTCTTCTACGTCATCACGCTATTTCTACGTCATAGCGCCATATCTACGTCATCACGCTATTTCTACATCATCACGCTATTTCTACGTCTTCTACGTCATCACGCTATTTCTACGTCATCGCGCTATTTCTACATCACACTATTTCTACATCATTACGCTATTTCTACGTCATCACGCTATTTCTACATCATTACGCTATTTCTACGTCATCATCATGCTATTTCTACATCATGCTATTTCTACATTATGCAATTACCACGTCATCACCCTATTTTTCACGTCATCATGCTATTTCAACGTCATCGCGCCATTTCTGCATCATTATGCTATTTCTATTACGTCGTTGCACATACGAAATCCTTTTAATTTCGTTTTTAATCCAATCAATTGTTTACATGTGCTCTTGATCAGGTTAGTAAAGGAATAAACCTTCCCTTTCAATCGGATCGAAATCTCATTCGGGTCGGTTAAGGCGTTTACATGAAGGCTTTCAGTCCGACTGGGTGGATTATTCGTATGGATGTAAACGTAGCCCTTGTTTCAACCAGGTCCTGTAGGCCATCAGACCCACAGCTCTTACCGGATCTGGAACTCGATGTCCGTCGGCTGGTCTCCCACCGCCACCTTCGTCATGCCGGGGAGATCGATCAGCGTCAGGTTCAGGACTGAGAGAGAGAGCAACGGTTCGAAGCGCCATTATGTTGATTCAGATCAGATCAATAACTGCTTTACTTTTGCAAAGTGAGATTAATATGGTTTAAATTTCCTTATAATCCTATAAATACACAGCCACACATAACGTGTCATGGAAATGTGACGTTTAACTGCAGCAACGACAGAGAGAGAGTTTATTGTGGAAGAGTGAGCTGAGGTTACCGTTCGGCGAGTAGACGCGCAGGTTGATGGGCACCGGAGAGATTCCCTTATTGGATCCGGTGAGTCGCTCCGTCTCGGCCTCGATCTCCAGCCGAACCTCGTCAAAGTCTGTGAACTTACGGCTCTTACAGTGCAGGAACTCGGCGTATTCTGGAGGAACAGAGAGAGATCGCTGGAGAATCATCAATACACTATCTCACTATCTCTATTTTCTGTATTCATTTTAATTTTAGTTCTTTAGTGATTTTGTTCTTATATATTATACACTAGTGTTTAGTGTTTTATTGTTTTTGAAAGAAGCCACTTTGGCTCACCAAGGATAAACCTGCAGTAAAAACAGTGAAATATTATTACTATTTAAAATAAATATTTTCTAAGTGACTATATTGTAAGATGTAATTTATTCCTGTGATGCAAAGCTGAATTTTCAGCATCATCATTCTGCAATATTGCAATATTGTGATTTTTGGGCATGACATAAATTAACACATGTAATCATTACGACGGTTGGAAAAGCGTGAACACGCCTTGAGTGTGAGAGACTGGATGTTCAGGAGGTGTGATGCGTGTTTTACCTGCTTTACTGTTGACTAGCTGGAGAATCAGAGGCCTGCGGGTGACGATGCCGGATCCTCGCGGGAGAAAGTCTCTGAATGACACAGACACACAGACGGATGAACATCTCTATGGATTAAAACATCAACTTTTTGTTTTCTTGTGGTTTAACACATTAGAAGATTGTTAGCAAAAAACTGTCCTTTCACAGTGAAGGGTTGAAACATTTATGAAAAGACATCATAATAATTCTCTGGTTCATCAAAGTACTGAAAACACACACCACAAGAAGAGGAAATATTGTTTGTTTCACTTCCCAGACCAAAGCCTCCATGGATATGTATATAGAAGCGTACACATGTGTGCGTGTGCCTTCCTGTTGCTTGAGCAGGAATCCTGAAGATGTCAAGTCCACACACGCTGAAATCTGTCTCAATCACGCAGTTAGATGTGGTTTGATCTTCTTAGTGAACCATTCAGACACAGAAATCAACACATTTGAGCCTCTGAAGGATGAAGACACTCATGATCTGCAGTGATACACAGATCATTCATTCACTCACACGCAGTCCTTCCAAACCCACATGCTCTCATTTTCCCTATAAAATGGCACATATGGACTTTTGTGGTGCTTTTGGAGTACGACATGGTGGTCACTCACTATGAATTATTGTTGTTGTATGGAAAAGATCCCCATGAAATGTCTTAAAACATCCAAATAAAAATGGGTGTGTAACAACATAAAGGTCCGTAAATGATCCTCATTCACTTCCATTGCATTTCTTTCCACTCTATGGAAGTCAATGGGGTCCAATTGTTTGGTCACCCATATTCTTCAAGGTATATATTTTTTTGTGTTCCAGCAGAAGGAAATTCAGGTTTAGAATAACAATTTTTAAGTGAACTATCCCTTTAAGGGCCGTTCACACCAACAACACTAACTATGCCTTTAAATACCGGGATTCTGATTGGCTGTCAATATTTGTATTGTTTATCAACTGAAAAAAAAAAAATGGAGAAAGTGGTTCCAAACAATGTCGTTCCTCTGTGCTGTTACCAATCTATATTTCGATAGTTCTTGCTGTGAACGGGCCTTATGTACTTTTTTTTAACTATCACTTTTAGAGCACAGCAAGAGTCTGAAATCCACCCAAAAATAAATTCTGTCATCATTTACTCACTATCAAGTTGTTGCAAACCTGTATGAGTTTCTTTCTTATGCTTAAGAAAGGAAAAGATATTTTGAAGGAAGATATTTTCAAGAACGATTGTAACTTTGCATGGCACCTGACTTCATAGTATGTTTTTTCTACTATGGAAGTCAATGCCCAGACAGCAAACTGACATTGAATCAACGTGGAAACGACGTCTCTCATAACATTGAAACAATGTTGATTTTGCTCATCGAATTAACGTTGAACCAACGTCAGACGCGGCATTCTTCAAAGCTAAATGAAAATCGAAAATTGGTTTGCTTTCATAACGTTGAAACAACGCGTTGATTTCAAGTTGATTTTCCGTTAGTTTTGAAAGAATGACGCGTCTGACGTTGGTTCAACGTTAATTAGATGAGCAAAACAATGCCAGATCAACGTTGTTTCGATGTCATATTTCCACGTTGATTCAATGTCAGTTTGCTATCTGGGTGGTGCCAAACACTGTTCCAATCGTTCTTCAAAATATCTTCCCAGATAGCACAAGGCTATTTGATGTGGTATTTACATCTGAAAGACGTATTTTTAAGAGTGTTTGCTGCTATCTGGGTTCCTTTGTGTTATGCAGAAGAAAGAAACACATACAGGTTTGCAATAACTTGAGGGTGAGTAAATGATGACAGAATTTTCATATTTGGGTGGAGTATCCCTTTAATCTTTGACTAGCAGACATTCTGATCACTGAACGCCTCAACGGATCATTACGGCACACATTTTCAAGTTCAAGTACATTTTCTCTCAAATTGAAATAAGTATTTTGACACAAAATACAGTGTTTTATCATGTAGAAGCCGCAAGGTCACCAGCTGCCTAGGAAGTTACCGAGCTCTTCCCGATATTAATATAAGCGCTCTGTTTATGTGTTCTTGCCGCTTTAAATGCTCGAGAGCTGGATTCTGATTGGCTGTCAATATTTTGTATCAGCTGAACAAAAAACCGTTGATTTCACCGTTGAAGTGAATCCAATACGATATCGTTACTCTGTGCTGCTGTTACCGGTCTATATTTCGATCTAGTTTTAGTTTTTAGTGTGAAATGGCCTTTAATGTTAATTTTTGAGTTAACTATCACTTTTAGAGCACAGTAACACTATGAAATGGTTAATTTTTTACTAGACATTCTGAATGCTGAACGCGTCAACGGATCATTTGAGTTTAATGGTGCGGCACATATTTTGAAGTTCAGGTACATTTTTCTCTTAAATTGAAATAAGTATTTGTCGTATTTCAGTGTTGTTTACACAAAAGACTGTGTTTTGTCATATAAAAGCCGCACGCTCACCTGCCTACGAAGTTCTCCAGCACCGAGCTCTTCCCGGCGCTCTGGCCGCCCACCACCGCGATCTGCGGCAGCTCCAGGTTACAGCTCTGGCCGATGGAGCTGAAGGCGTCCTGAAGTTTATTAATCAGGGGAATCAAGTCCTCCATCCCGCGGTTCCCCATGACTAGCTTCGGTCAAACCCCAGAGAAACTCAACTGATCACTTCATAACTCGCTGACTCAAAATAAACCGCTTTAACACTAACAAAACCGACGCAAAATTCCAGTTGTCAGACAGAGAGAAACACGAAGGCAGGCAGAAAGTTTTCCTATCCGGTCAGCAGACCACCATAAACTTATGAAGAACAGCCCTTGTGTGCAAACCGCGCGTTGCTATTGGCCATTGCTGGTGTCAATCAAATATTGACCGAGAGGATACGGGCGGGGCGTTAAAAGATGCAAGAAATAAAAAAGCAAAATAGACTTTGGAGTTTTTTTTATGTTTTATTCTGTTTCCTTTGATGCTATTTTGAATGTAATAGATATACAATAGTTGAATATATACTAGATCCTCTAGTATGTGTATGTTGTTAGTTCTGCTATGCAATAAAAAAAAAAAAAAAAAGGGTGGGGCGTTTGAACAGCTAATTATCAGTTTAACCCTTTTCCATTAAAAACATAAAATACTTTAGTAAAACTCAAGAAGCGATATTACTGAAACACTTGTAGCCTATGTGTCTGAAGTAATTTAGTCTATGTTACAGACAAGCACTTGATTTAGAGTCTCACACGGAAATATTAAGGTGATTTTTCTCCCCAAATCGGAAAAAAAAATAGAGTTAAAGTGCCTGTTTAAAGTGGAATGTATAAAAAATATATAGGGTAGGCTATAATAATTATAAACTATAATATACAGTATAGTACTAGGCATTACTCATGCTTTCCAAGTATTAATGTTTCAAACCAGCTTTACAGTGATAACAGGTGCAAGCGCTGAATAATAATGGAAAAAAGGGTTACTTGACATCTCTACATAAACTTCTAACGCAAAAAAAAAAAAAAAAAAAAAAAAAACTGTGAGAACACTGAAAAAAATCAAATATGTGAGAACACTGACAGTGCGCATGTGGATCACATGTTCAGAATGCGCATTTGAACATGTCTGTGTGCAAGCGTGTAGTCTTTCTTACAAATTGCAATAGATTAGATCTGGATACGGCCTGGATACAGCCGACTGCAGTAAACCTCGGGATAAACAGACTAATAGTAGCGTAGAAGCCATTTTTCTGATGTAATAAGAACATCAGGATTTAAGGGAAGTGTTTCCAGTTCAATCTGATCTAATCTATACAGCCTAACATTGAGTTATAGAAGTCTATAGTGTGTTATGTGTATGCTTGGTCAAAGAGAAGTTATAATTATGACATAGAAAGTAAATTTTTACTTTAGTCTCATAATTATGTAATAATATTCATTATGAGACTAGTCATAGACAATTGATTAAAAAGTTACTGACGGTTTCAGATTTTTACTTTTTATCTCATGATCACAACCTTTTGTCATTATTTACCAAAGCATGATTTTTATTTTTTTATGTGGTCTTCTGTAGGTTAGAAAGACATCATGAAAGATGAAAGTCACAGCAGAAATATCAAGGCATGTTCAGGGACTGATTCCAGCATCAATCCCAGTATGTGTCTGTGGTCACACAGAAGGCACACTAGTAATCTTATGGCAATTTACCAGGATCAACACACTGTGTGAAAGTGGCTCTAGTGTTACGCATCACATTTGAGCATTGCAAGAACCAACAAGAACCAACACTCATTTGTTTTATGCAACCCATTTGAGCTACAGCGAGAACAAATTACCAGGTGCTTTAACCCTCCAAGGTCTAAGGGTTTTTTTTTAATGCCAAGTCCACCTGGCACTATGTTGATATTTTGGCTTCTGGAACGGTCAATTTTCATAGCAGAGAAAAGAGAGACATATTTATGGATTCTACAGATTCTCAGCTACAATTTGGATGCATTGAAAATATACTTTTTGAAAAAATTATGCGTGTTATAATGTAATATTTCACTAATAAATACAAATAAATACAAAAACAGAAATTAATTTTTTTTTTTTTATTATATGAAAATATGAAAAAATAAATGAATAAGGGATTTTACAACAAATATTTATTCCTCAAAGACTTTTGAACACCTGCAAAAAAAACTGGGTGAAAAAATATAAAGAAACAAAACAAATATTTACATTTCTGTAACTGTAGTCGCCATACTTTTTTTGAGAAAAACAAACAAATAAGAATATAAAACAAACTCTTCTTCATTCAAGATGTTCTCATCTCTCAATTTACAAAATATACAAAACCACCCCTAGATGGCACTGTGGACTGCATTTGAAATACTTGAAATATTGAGGTTTCAATATTTGATGTTTGATTGTAAAAAAAATAGTCACTTACTGCTGGGAGCTTTAGAACTCCCATGTACAAAACCAAGCCAATGAATTTGAACATCTCTGCAGGGTTGATGCTGGTCCAACTTTTCCCAGCAGCAATGTTTCTCTCTTCCAACTTGTTTGTGTTGGCACACAATGTCCTGATTGAATCAGCACTAAAAAAAGTGCTTGAAAAGGCCGATGGGGTTTGCTCTACGGAGGTGTCCAATTGCACTCCAGGTTTCAGTCTGGGGCAAACCTGTGTGGACTGAGGGCGATTATTTCCGGCCTCCAATCCTTATTCCAACTGGTCTGGTGGTGCTGAACATCTGAAAGGTGAAAGTGACAAAATTATTACTGGAGTATTTATATATATATATATATATATATATATATATATATATAATTATTATATAGTATATGCACAGAGTAAATAAAATGTATGAAACCCCTTCCCATGTAGACCCCATGCCATGTAAAATAGTATCAGGCCTTAGATAAGGCATACTGCACTATTATTTCTGAAAAGCTACACACACACAAAAAAAGTTTCCCTAAAAAACATTATAATAAAATGCACAGAGTAAATACAATGTCTAAAGCAAACCCCCTCCCATATAGACAAATATAGCCTTAGAAAACTCACTGCACCATTATTTCTGAAAAACTACAATAACATTTTCCTAAAACACATTTCAATAAAATAGACAAGCAAAGTAAACGAAATAGCTTATAAATGCAGATGGATTACATTGAGGCAAAACGCGCACATGTTTGATTACGCACATGGCGTTCATAGTTTGATTGCGCGCATACTTTGCGCATGATTTGGCGCAGATGGCTTGTGTTTGTGAGCACACACATTGTTTGATTACAGATCCGTTATTTCTGAAAAGCTATAATAAAATAATCTGACTAAAAACTATACAATATATATTAGACAATATATTATCAGTAATCTATCATTTATACTTACTTCTCAAATGGATCGAGTCCGTGGAATATGATCTTCCTCCCAATCATACCGCTCTGGATCGGATCAGATCTGCTTTCACTCTCATCACTGTCGTCAAAAAGCATTTCAGCAACTTGCTCGTCCGAGAATCTCCGTTGTGGCAGGTTTTCTTTCTTGGAAAGTGCAAATAAGCTGTATGATCACTTCCAACTCTGCGCGTTTGGACACCGCGTTTTAGCATGTAGCGCGCTAGCCGCTGTTTTACACACACACACATGGCTGAAGCTAATCGCCACACCCCTTCACGTTGTCTGAACACGTCATCTTGTGTTTTGGTCAGTGATTGGTTCACACACAGGTCTTTTATTGGACACACACCGAAAGCATTGCACTTCATTTGAATAGACTAGAGTAAAGTAATATTTGTTTGTTTTGCAGTAAAATGCTATAGATTTGCACTAAAATACAAAATGCTTTTGAATCGCGGAAGTCAACACAGTTTATGCAGACGAATGTCAGCTTTTTCATAAAAAAAAAAGTAAATTAATACCGTCATCCAAACCGAAGTTATTAATAGATATGTAAGGGGAGTGCCGATTGACGCTCTAGAGCGTCAAACGACCTTGGAGGGTTAAATCCACCTGCCTTCTATAGAAGATTGCCCCAAAATAATGGGAGGAAGATTGGTAGAAGTCTGGAAGTTACAGCTTTCCTCAACATACCAAATAAAACAAACAATTTCATGTTGGTAGCGTTGCACAAAATGGTCAAACAAGGTCAAGGCTTAATATAATTTATTAAATACTCATAGAATCAGTCTCACTTCTCCACTAGAAACCACAGTTTGGCCAGAAGTTGTATTGTTTAAACGAACACCCCTTCCTAAAAGTGCAAGAAAAACAAATGCAAGTTAACTTTTAAAACACAAGCTAAATTAAACAGTTTAAAAAAAAACAGGAAGCACTGACTTTGCCTGGAGCAACTTTGCTGACAAGAGCCAGAAGAGGGATGGCACACCTCTGTACTGCAATGGATGAAGACCTGAGACGAGAACCAAAGCTGGCATTAGGAACCAAGAGACATTTGAAAACTGACACACTGGGTACTGTACCGTTTCCTGCAGAGGAGCCAGTGAGGCTGGATCTACAAATGTGAACATCTTCACAACAAAGCGCTTGTAGTGTGTTGGGAACTGAAAACCAGATGATCCGGTCACTGGGACTAACGTGGTCAGGTAACGATCATCCCGGTAAGGGCATCTGAAAGGCAAAGAGGCAGTCAGAAACACCTTACTACACACTAGATGGATAAAGACTGGCCTTAACTCACCCATCAACCAGAAGGTCCCATTGGGGTAGACTGAGTGGACTAGGGGTTGATGTCGCCCAGCAATGTCCCAGCATCAAGACAATGTTGGGGTCGGTCCTCTCCAAAAGGCGCACCTCAACATACACAGGCTCCCGCAAGACTTTTGTGACCGGATAATCAGCGTCACTGTAGTAGGAAGTGTACGCCTCGTCCCCTGAGGAAGAACACAGGGTTTAACTAGAAACTAGAGTTTTAGAAAGGCTTTAGGCATACTTGGGACAAACACAAACCTTCTGCACAGCCTTTGGTGACACATTGACCATTTGCCAGTCTAAGCTCCACTCTGAGGGGTCCAGGAGCAGCTACTGGTGGAGGTGGAGGAACAGTGTTGACCTCCACAACCAGAGCTTCCACAGAAGTACCAGAGTACCTACACTGGAAGAGAAGCCTGGACAACAAACAGTGAGCTTGTAACATTTGTCCAGGATTAACATTTATGATAAAGCATGCATCACTTACTCAAAATGGCTGTCCCTTGTGATGGAACCAAGTGGTCCCATACCCACTTCATACGAGGAGGTCATTCTGTTTTCATACACCACATATCCACCGTCCTCCTGCAAATAGTAACCGTGGGCATCCAGTCCATTC